TACCTTTTAATTATATTTAGGCTTACCTTTGGTAAAAGAAGAAAAAAGTGAAAATTGCAGTCATTTATAAAAATGAACTATTTTTAACAGAATGTAAAAAATATTTTATGAATAAACTAAAAAATAAATCAACTCGTGCAATTTTATTTCCAGGTCTTTTTTTCTTCAAAAAAAAAACAGTTTCACTTCAATTTAAAAATTTATTTATTTATAAAACAAGGTGCTGGTATTACTGTAATGAACGAAGTAAACTTCTGTCAGATTCCCATAAATGTGATGACTAGAATTATAAATAAATAAAAGATTAAGCTTCTCTCACAAATTAATTTTTTTAAGGGAAAGAATTCTCTAAATTTTTTTAAGTATCTTACAAAATCAGTGTAGCCATTTTTTAATCATTAAATTAAACTTATTCCTATCCTATTAAATTACTTAAAATAATTAAGTCAATATGAAATATCATAAAATGAAAATGCACACCATAGTTCTTTACACTGTTCACATAAAAACAGATACAGAAAAAGTGTACTGTTAGTCTGAAATAAATTCTGTAAATCAGCATTTCTCAAAATGGGAAAATACCACACACATCCTTAGAATGTTAGAATTATCTAGTAGTCATTAAATATCGAGGGATAAAGTAAACAAGTTTCAGAGGTGCCAAGAGGGCAGTAAAACTACAAAATAAAATAGACACAATTTATTTGATAACTTGGAACATTATAAAGAATAACATCGGTTTTTTCATTCTTTCCAACAATCTCCCCCCTAATCAATACTAAATCCAATATCATATTTGATTAAATGAAATTTTAGTGCTGCATGTTAATTTAAAAAAAAATAATAATAATTAAAAACTCGAGAAATCGTTGAACATACTGATTTACAATGCCTATAAACAAATAATAATATTAATTTTTATATGCTACCTCCATTAATCCATTCCATTGATTAAATAATAAAATATTCTTTCTATTGAAATACTAACGGTAATGTGTGTATGTATTATTAAGCTTAAAATATGTTATTCAATTGCTTCTATTGATAATATTTTGCAAAAATAATAGTAAATTTTATATGAATGGATCATTTGTTACATAATGAATGGATTAAATTACATACTAGTTTATGATTACATAATATGTAAATCAAATGTATGTCATACATTTGTAGACATATAAAAGAGGTATGGGATGTTAGAAAGGGGGAACATGATTTCAATCACAGGCGCAATAACCTGAAAGTTAGTTAATGTGCATTTAAAAATTACAATCCATTCATGAAGTTTAACTCATTAGTCAAAAAAATTTCATCAAATCCTCTGCGTCTTTTTTTTTTAATCGAATATGTTAATAATATGTTTTAATTACATAACAAATTCAAATAATAGTAAAAATATTCAAATTAATTTAGAATTGATAATTTCTAATTTTTAGCTTGTATACAAAATCTTAAACAATTGTAAAATTGCATTTATGAAAAAAGTATATATATATATATTTTCTTCTACATTCCATGTTGCATGTATTTTTAATATAAAAGATTATTCATAAGTTTTTTAAATATTAAAAAACTTTTTAACATAAATTATGCAACTAGAACCAAACTTTATTATATTTAAATAAATTCATTAGCTAGTCTATATTTTAGAATACTCCTTCGATTATCGCCAAGTTGTTGTTTCATTTACTGTAACCTGAGTAGTTAAATGTTATGGAAACCCTATTATGACGTAATTGGTTATGTGATTGCGGCGAGTTTGATTGATGGAAAAATATTTGTAAATGCTTATTTTATGTGTTGGATGTTGGTTAGGAAGTACGTTGCTTATTTTGTTCTTTACATCATAAAATACCTACTGGTGGTACGATTAATCTGAAGTTTCTGTACACTTTAGAACAATTGGGAAAGAAAACATTGATTGACTGGTTGTAAATGATTTAATTGTCTTTGTTCACCTCTCAGTAAATTACGCAGTGAGATTTAAGGATTTGGAAACCACAGCTCCGTATCAAACACTATTGAAGGTATGTGGGGTGTAATAAAGGGGATTTTTGAAAGAAATGCGATCCAACAGTCCAGCAGTACGGAGATTATTTTTCATTTTTACTTTTGTGAATTATCTGGAGACGCTAGTATACAGATTTTAGTTTAGATAATTTAAATAATTTTTGAATGCTGTTAAGGAATTTTGTGTGTCTCACATACCAAACAGAAATTTTTAAATAAGGTAAGTCGATATTTCCTTTTTGTATTGCGTAGATTACATAACATGTATTTCTATTCTTATGTTATTAGCTTCTTGATCTTAAATGCAGTTTGTTGAGATTATATACATTAATTATGTTTTATTACATTACGTTTTGGACACAATTTTACTGGGGAGGGCATTGGACGTAAGCAGGAATAGTGCCAAAAGAAATCGCCGAGGGGTACCCTGAAATATATATTTACCCATTAATTTTCTTAAACATATATCGCAAATGCTAAATGTATGCACCTTTGCTAGTACAGCAAATGTCTACACATTATTGGAGGATTCATTGGGACATATTGAAAAGCAGGCTAATGCCACAGTTGAGGAAAATAATAATGATTACTTCTTTTAATATGACAATTATGTCCAGCTCACTGCCATTGATACTGTTTGCAAGAGTGTCTTGGTCAAAATTTACCATAAAAATCTAAAAAATTGCATGAGTATCTCGATTACTTTGTCACTATGGTAGACAGGATATGCAAAACAAAAGTATCTTAGTGCTGTGGTGACCACAATCTTCTTCCATACACCTGTTTCTTGTAAAAGTAAAAAACGAGTCTTTCTGCCTCCAATCTTCACAATCTCCAGAACTTCTGCAACCAAATCACTAATGCTATACTTCAAGTTGCTCATGATGTACTCGCTCGTGTGAGATGAAATGAATTATCAGATAAATGTCTACTATATCAATAAAGGCAAATATATTGCGCATTTATGAAAACATAATAAAGCATTGTTTGTCCTTAATTTAAATAAAATAAAATTTGCTGTAGGTCGCATATTTTGTGTGTAATAAATTTTTAAAGTGTTTCATAGAATTTTTAATAATCCAGCATAGTGATTTACATAAAATGTATATAACATAAGATAAATGTAATTCGGCAAAGCTCAATTCTAAAATCATATAATTGCTAGTATATACAAATGATAAATCTGAAATAATTCCAGCTTAGCATCTCTATTAAATTACTACTAGTTTTTAAACTGATTCCTAACTTAACAAAATCAGTGATTTAGATCAACTTATTAAATCAGCAGCTATTGAATATTGCATATTAGGAAATATATCATTTCAGTTGTGGAGGATTATTACATTGCATGAGCAAACAAATAAAGTTTCGAAGGAGATGGCAGGACTGTGGTACTTCAATTCTCCATCAATTTGAGAATAGTCACCATGACAGATAACAGAAATTCCTTCTAAAATCAACTAAAGTTGATTTGTTAAGTTGCAGGTAGTCAATATTAAAGATTCATGCTAATCATAATACATAGCAGAGAATAAAATTATGATTAGATCTGAAAATTGGTCACTTTATAACTCTTTGGTTTGCTTACTATTGTGTAAAGTAAATAAATTAAATACAAAGCAATCCTTATGCAGTATAACATTAAATATCTTATTTTCTGAATGATTTAATTGAAGTTTCATATACTCATGTATGAAATTTTATAAAATTCCTAATAAATTATCCCCCCTCCAAAAAAAAAAAAATAATAAAAAACAAGATATCTTGTGATTAGCAAATTTGAACTAATTTTAATGGATTTTTTTTCCTGTGTAGTTTTATTTAATTACATAGTGCTGTGTTTTTAATAACTGAATTGTAAACATGGTGACTAAACATTCATGTTTTATTGCCTGATACAACCTGAAAAGATTAAAAAATTGATTAAAGATAATTAATCAGATTATCTTTGATCATCAAGAGATTGATTTAATTAAAGATATGAGATTTAAATTATGATAGTTTTGGAACTTATGTTTATTTTATATTTTATGTGGTATTCATTCTACCCATTGAGTGATTTCAGCACCTGATGGTAACAGAAATTGACTGATAATTGAGTTTTCATTGTCCTAAGTCTTCATTGTCATTTGCTATTAAAAAGCAAATATTTTTCCCCTAAGTAATTAGTTGAAATTACAAAAAATAATTCCAAAACAAATTCAAAACACAATTGTATACAATAGAAAAAATTTGAAAACTGGTTTCAGAATTTCTTAGATCAATAATAAACTACTAGAGGGGGGGGGAACTTCAAAATGATTTCTTAAAATTTACCTACTTTGAAACATGTTTTCACATACATGTCCTTAATTGTTTAAATAATAATGAACTGACACATAGAGAATGAGAAACATATAATTATTCTACAATAAGAAGAATGTAAAATAGTTATGCTTTAAATACAATTACAATAGTTACATTTAAAAGAGTAATACCATATCTCTACATGGAGAATAAATGGACAAATGCAAATCAATTAATAATTAATCAATCATAAATTGTTTACTGAAAGTAAAAATTGGGAATCAAGAACTTTGTTAAAGAGGCACACAAACATCAAAAATATTTTTGCATCTTAGATTCATAAAAAAAAGCTATCGTAAATTAAAATATAGCAATAAGCAATTTTCTCTTAAACTGGATTTCTACAGAAATTGAAAGTATGAGTTGGTAATAATAATTACAGTATATTAAAATTTGCATAAAACAACACACTGAAAATATTAGCTTGCCATATTTTTTATTTCAAAACCATTTAATATGCTAAAAAAAGCTATATTTAACAGTCAAAAATATTAATTTTATATTCACAAATAGAAAAAATTAGCAATTATCTGTGTACAATCATATGCCTTTTGAGATTTTGTTTTGTGGTGAATCCAGAAGCACAAAGACAGCATTTATAAGGCCGTTCACCACTATGAACAAGTTTATGATTATTAAAACTAGTAGTCCTTTCAGTGGAATAGGAACAATGTGGGCATTTGTAGCGGTATTTTAATATCTTATGTTCACGTCGATGTACAAGAGCTGTAGCTAAGGATTCAAAACAGATGTGACAAATGCTGCAAAAATATTTTCGAGCACCTGAAACAAAAATGATAAAATAATCAGACTCAACTGAAACATCAAATATAAATAAAACAGTATGTAAATTATACCTCATATGATTGTCTGTACTAAACCATGAAAATTACTGTCATGAAGAACTTTTATTTTTATTCAAAATGAAATACACATGCAATACAAAGTTTTGGATATGATCCTATAACTCTTTAAGAGGTTAATATAATTAAATTATTAAGTAATGTTTAGTTTAAAAAAACCTTTAGAATATTGTTTAATTTTGGATTACATCATTTATTACAAAAGGTTAAAAATTCTTTATGCTCAACTGCATGTGTTAATTCTTTTATAAAGCTCAAAACACTATATATAAAGTAAATAAAAAGACCATTCATTTCAGAGCAAATGCTTTACACAGATTCTCAAGATTTCTTGTACATACTGTGTTTATTATCAGTGAAGAACTGTATGAATGATAATCAAAAATACAAAATAAAATTTCAAAGAAAAATATGGAATACATCCATTCATTGCTACTGATCAGGCACCTAAGGGGTAACAAAAATAAAGATGCCACCTGTGATCATGTCTAAAAGGTGACAGATAAAAACAGACAAATTTTCAAAGGCACACAGCATGGATACATAAGGTTAATTACAGCATAAAATTAAATAAAATGATAAATGCACAGAAGTCAAAAGAATATTGCTGCTGATTAGAAACAAATTAACAAAAAGGTTATTATATATAGTCATTTGAAAACTTCTGCCTCCCAAAAACAGCTACAAGATTTTTTTTAATATACTTATTGTTATCTGTAATATAGTATCTTTAAAATAGTAATATAGTAATGTTTCTGATGTGCACTCTTTTGCCATCCTCTTGTCATGTATAGTCTAAAGGAAATATATCCATAAATGAATATAATGCAAATATAATTAATACAATAATTTTAAATGCAAATTAATAAAATGAATATAATTTTAATAAAAATATATCATTTAAATAGATTTAATATTAGCAATCATGCATTCATCATACACTTTATTAAAAAAGAATTATATTCAGTTTAAGGCAAAAAGTGCTAAACAATTTTGTCACTCTTCTGTTATCAGGATCGGATTTAAAAATGTATGTATATATGGCATGCATTAATGGATGGATGTATTCATGTATATATGTACGTACATATCTGTATGTATACACACACACACAAATATATGCACATACAAATATGACTGACATAAAATTCTTCTAAAATAAGAAACAAACTTTTTTCTGTTAATTATTTCATCAAACAATAAAAGAAATAGAATGACATACTTTAAAAAATTTTTCATTGGCAATATTTACTTCAAAAATTATAACACTGATATGAAAGATAAAAACAATATTTCAGTTTAATGATCAATATGCAACACTGTCATCTTTTTCAGAAAATTTTCTTTTCTTAGAATGGAAAAAGGTCCCAGAAATGTTAATTTATAACAGGCAGAAAATTTTTATAAGCAGATGATAAACATCATTTTGTATTTAATGAATGTTTAGAAATAACAGTCTACAGTACTATTTATATAAAACTAAATATATGGCTTTTAAAGACAAAAAAATAGAACTCAAAATGATTTCAACCAACATATGGGAAAAGATTAATTGAAAATAGTAAGAATGATTAGTGTTTAAATAAATTAATACTAACATTGGTTTTACTTAAAAATAATTAGAATTATATACATCTAATGAAACTATCACAAGCAGCTAACAACATACAGCTATACATACAGATAGAGAAAGAAAATACTATAAACATTTTAACATATAATAGAAACAGCTATTACTTTAGATGCCAAAATAATGATTGACTGAAAAATACATATTTAAAATTACTATTAATTACCATAAGAAAAATGTTATCACAGTACATTAATTTAAAAGATCAAAATATTTTGCATTAGTATTAGAAAATTTATTACATCAGTAGAAGTAATAAATTGCAACAGTATCCAAAATTTAGGCAGCTGCCACCTTTTATCTATGGAAAGAAATTTAAAAAGAAAAGCATCATTTAAGAATTAACATACATTTAATTACATATAATTACTAGTTACAATTATTAATAGCCGAACTCTTTCAAACCATATGATTTTAAGAAATTAAAGTTAATTTAAAAAATCAGAAAGGAATTTTTCAGAAACACATTTTTCATATTAAGGGTAATAAAAATGCAGGAAAGCAGACTTGTATAATAAACATGTAACTAGATTATTCTTAACTTTAAAAAAAATATACTAAAATTTTGAAACAACAAAAAATAAAAAAGGTATTTGACAATACTTCCCAATGCAAGTTATGTACTAATTTCAGTTTTACAAATAAAAATTTAATATAGCATTGGAAAAATTACCTCATATGAAAGGTACTGATTATTAGGTAAAATAAAAAAAAAAAGTGATATGCAAAATGACAGAGAAACACAAATAATGTTTCAAAAATTATAGAAAATGTCAAAAAAATTTTTTTTTTTTAAATGCAAGTTAATAAAGAACAATTATGCAACTGGTACTTACGTGTTATTAAAACTACCTTAGCAGAAATCACGGTACTTTGCTGTTATCGGGACCGGGTTTAGAAATGTATATATTTAAGTATGTATGTGCATATATCCGAGTGTGTATACATATACATACGTATGTACTCACAATATATACATGCATACATGAAGACATCCATCCATAGGTACACGCATACATTTCTGAATCTGATCCTGATAACAGAAGATTACTGAAATCGCCAAACTCTGACAACCATGCACAAAACAGTTCTTTAGGTAACCATTTCCACTGTAAGCTGCATTTAAAAAATTCAACAAATCACCTTTTATTTCAGTAAAAAATCACGAAGCTTGTTGCAGTAATATGTAGGTACCAAACAACTTTTATATTTTGATAATAAGTTTTCTTTCTGAAAACATTCTGCGTATATTTTTAAATTTTAATATAATGTTATTTAATATTTTGTAATTCTTTATTATAACAGCTCCTGTTTTATAAATGGTGCCAAGATTATCAAAAAACTGCAATGCAAATTCAAATGGCCAGTAGTCCTAAGAACAAATCATTTATAGTTTGCTTATAAGAGAAGGACTCCAAGTGAATGATGTGTTATCATATTTTCTTTTTTCATATAAATGTTTACAATTCACAATCACTCGTAATTCTCTCATCACGAGTACAGCTCAAGTTATTTTACATGTTGGCACATTTTTTTTAAATAAAGACATTTTAGAAGTGTTTGATTTACTGAGACGTGATGAAGATTTTATAGCTTTCTTCCAAGAAAGATGCATTTTATTTCATATTCAATTACACAGGAACAGCTATTAGATAAGCTACATATCAATGAATACATTTGAAAGTGCAATATGAAAAGTTGCAAATTAAGAAAAAGCATATGTTTTGGCAACTGGTTCAATAGTTTCAGAATAATGTTTGCAACCACAGCAATTACTTTTGGGCAAAGGAAATGACGATGGGAGAAGTTACTCAACCTTTATGAAAATATAATTTTTGACTAAACAGTTTTATGAGAGAGGTGTATTCTCTAATCTGACAACCAAATAAGCAAATAGGTGGCCATAAAATAAAAATTTATTCATATGGCGAAGAAAAAAAGCTAGCAGAGTTTTTCCACAATGCTTGAGATTTGGCACATCATACTGAGAAACTGGTAAATTCTTTCTCACTTAAATACAGAGACAACCACATAAAGGGGGCAAATCACCAACTATATACAAGAAGAATCAATGATTTATTCAGATTGTTCGCAAGCATATGAAAAGAGGAACTAAAAAAAAAAAAAAAAATAGGTTAGAGACATTTTATTGTGCATCATTAATTGTCTTTTGTTGATCTAACAACAGCAGCTCATAAACAAAGTGTCAAAAGATTGTGGCACTCAGCTCACCGGTGCAATAAAAATGAATGAGGCCTGGTGCACCATCATAAGTGTATCTTATAGAGTTCATATGGCGAAAGTTCTTGAGATGAGAAAATGCTTCTAATGTAAACATGTAATGCATTAAAAACAATCATGGAAATATGGCAGACACAAAGTGTATGCAAGAAGTAAACATGTATATGGCAATAGTCCTAGCACCAACTTGCTATTTAAAAATAAAGGTCATAATAATAAGGAAATACCAGGTTTTCAATATGTTGTTACCAAAATTAATATGTTTAATTTTTGCATAATTAAGTAACTGATAAATACTAACCTTATTACTGTTACTTCCACTTACATTATTAAGCATACAACAAATATTTCATAAGAAATAAAATAAATCATTAAACAAAAAATTATATTTTGAAACAAATAAGATTATGGTTAAAAAATCATCTCTAAAATATCTAAATTATTTTTTGTATCTTAGCATACAGACACCCCCCCACTTTCAAAATATGAACAAACCTGTTCTCAGAGGTTGAAATTAGTTCAATTGAAAAGATAATAATAACATTTTATGGCAATTTTGGAAGGACTACAAATCAATACTGTGTACAGAACATCCAGAATGCTTGTGAAGATTTAAAACATATGAATGGAAATCTACTTGAAAATGTATGTGCTCCAATTTTGTTCAAGATTATCATGGTTTTTTGGAAAATTAAGACCCAAATTCTAAGAGTTTTTTAAAGAAACATCTGCTGTGCATGATATCATATAGGGTTATCCTTTTATTTATAATAAAATAATTTTTTAAAAAAACTAATTAGACACTTATTTTCTTAAGAAAGACATTTCAAAAATTAGTGTTGCTAGCCAATCTAATATACTGACTTCTTCCACCTCTCATACAGCCTCCTCATCACATGCTCTGTTTACTTGACTAGCGTCTCAAAACAGAGATGGCTGTGAACGGCTCCCTATGAGAAAATTTTTTGAACGAACTGTGCATGCGCCGTTTCTTTTTATCGCCAACAAATGATGGTAAACCTATTGTAATTTCTCGCCAGCGTTTCTCGTTTCATTTGAATTAGAATTTCATTTGAATTTGTGTTGTCAGTGAGATTAATAACAATGATAATAAAAAAAAGTCATTTCAAATGTTTACACAAGGAAATATTTTTTGCTCTTTTTCGCACTATATATGCTATCATCGATAGAATTCAAGAACTTTTAGTAATTAGGTCAAAATTAATTTTAACGTGTAAATTTCAAACTCACAAATTTGAGTACAGATTTTCATCAGATGTCTGAAAGGCAGTTACTATATTTCAGTACAGCAAATCCTGGAATATAAAAGAAAAATAATTTAATTGAAGTCTATTCTTCAGCTTCATTCTAATTCCTATCAGTACATCTCTCTAAAACAGTTTATTACAGAAGTTTTCAGATGTAAAAGAAGTTCATAAAAGTATTGATCAATGAAATTATTTCCAATGGTCAGTGAAAATTGGTTGCAGTTTCAGACACTGTTGCAGAAGTTTCTCACATACAATTGCTGTTTATTGTGCAAGTAATATTCAAACTAACTAAAGTGCTTGCATAGATTTCTGCATCTTGGAGGAAAAATTGGAACATTAGTGGAAACAAATTATGTATATATTGATACTGTAAAATTTGGGAGGTTTCAAAGATCCAGCAGAAAATATGGTGGCATTGATATCAGTTGCATATTTACTTTTCCAGACTATTATATCTGAAAAGTACGAAAAGCATTTCATCTACACCATCAGCTTCTTACAAAAATAGCTGAGGCTCATCTCAGTTAGTTTTGTAATATAGTATGTACGTATTAGTAAAAGATGCTGTGAATGTAATTTGCTGTACAAGGTAATAAACATGAGTGTTGTCAGGATTTCTAAATATATGTTTGAACAATTATGTACAAAACATTCCTTCAAATTCACTTGAAAGAAATGAGGAAACGAAACTGAAAAAAATTCAAGAATCAGTAAAAAGCAACTTTTTTTTATATTTTGGATGATATTTTCTTAATGCTATGTTTAAAATCACAATTTCTTAAACTGTTTGTTTTAAGTATACATTTATACTTCTTGCAGGGTTAAAGTGGCCTAAATCAACATCATTTATTATATTATAAATAATGAAACTTTGTCATTGTACATTACTTATATAAAGAGAAACATAAAGTGACATAGTATGATAAGTTAGGTTTGTAAAGGTAATTGAAATATTTTCATTGTGCAAGACTTGTATGCTTAAGAATTTTTCAATCTTGGTGTTATTTATTCGTATAAAACATCACAATTCAAATAAAAGTACTATTTTGTGGTATAATTCCATTATAGGAGCCGTAGCAAATTGCAGCGAAAATATATGCGCAAAATTTAGCGAAAGTGGCGATTTCACTCCACGTAAATTTAAATAGTTCTATTTTTGTTAGTCACCGCCCACACGATATATTGATTAGGGAAGCTGACTGCGATATCACAAGGCCTGGGCTTGAATTCCGGAGAAGGCATGGTTATAACTGCCGGTTCCTTCATATATTTTTCCGCACACTTCTATTGGTTTATTAGGTGCCTCCATAATAATGTGACCACCACCTGGGCTTAGTTGTGGCCAAGCTGAAGGCCCGCCGTTGGGGGGGGGGGAGAAATATTTGTAAGTCGCCATTGAAATACTGGTTTATTTTTTTTTTTTAATTCTTTTTTGATATGATATGGATCTAACAATTTGGGAATTGCCCAATGACAAATGTCTGCAATAGAATTTTTTCAAAGAAAAGACATCATTCATTATAGAATATTATGATCGAAAACCACGAGATGAAATTATGTTTTAGCGGTAACTCAATAGCGAAATGGAGGTGCAGGAATGAACCTGTATTCTGAAGAAAGGATTAAGAAGTCAGATATTGGTTCGAAGGAATCGAAAGGATACCCGCCCTTATAATACCCCTTGATCCCTTTCTTATTATCCCCTTCCTTATTATATCTCTTGATACCAAAAATAGGCAGGCTATTATCCCCTTCCTTATTATATCTATTATCCCCTTCCTTATTATAT